AGATGAACCCAGTGCTTTCAAGTAGGAATCCAGGGGGTCGAAAGCTGGTGTCGCCTTCTGCAGTAGAAACGCTGCTCTTACTGCTTTTCCACAGTCAAAAAAAGGGTGAAAACCAAGAACTGGCATTTTATGAAGGGTGCCTCGAGTGTAACAAAGGTTGAGCATCATTGGGTTAGTGACGTCCTGGGTCTGTCTCTGCAGCTGAATCAGCCATGCTGTTGTGGCCTGGTTGTCTGGGGTTGGAGCTGTGTGAAGTGGTCCACAACACTGGTTCTCAACACGTCTTGGGCTGGAGGCACCCCTCGTTAGGCTGGAGGCACCCCTAGTAAGCCTCCAGGCAGCCTTTGGAAAATATTCTCAGTTTGCACTCTGCTTTTGGCTCCAGAAAGGTAACGGAACAAGTTTTCTGTTGCAGAGGACTGGGAAGACCACAATAGGTCAGACTGTTTTAAATGCCACAGCTTTGTATTAGAAATCTCTGGGTTTATCTTGTGAATCCTACCTGCACACCTAACAGCACTAACGTTGCGTGGCGCCCCCGCGGTCCCCTTGAGAGGCTCTCAACCGTGCCACAGCAGCTTGGTTGAGATTCACTGATATGGAGGATCTAGCTGATCTGTGTCCCCAAATTGTTTTCCATGGTGTCTGCAAATACAAACACAATTGGGATTCCCACAAACAGTGTCGGTGCTGGGGGCGAGAGGTATGGGAATGGTATGGGCTGTTGTAAGGTAGAAACAAACCTGGCTGCCTGTGGGATGGGCTTGTTTCTATCTTTCAGGCTGCTTGGCTTTCGTGGCATGGGAGGGGGAGCTTGGGTTAAGAGCCCAAATTACTATACCAAAGGCAATATGCCTACTACCAACTTTTTTCCTCTATAAAGCTATCTCTGCCTTTACCAGAAATTGGATGTGGGAGAGAGCGTTGTAGGGAATCAAATGGGTGGGGTTGCATTGGAATCAGAGAAGTGGGAAAGGTCAAGGAGGGTGGAAGTGTGGAGTATTTGCTGATGACTGATAGATTGCTAAAGAAAATGGTCTCCCTCTCTCTAGGGGCAGCCTTCTTTAGGACCAGGGTGGGAACAAACTGTGTGCTTCCTCATGAGCGATAGGAGAGGCTGCTGGGGGTGGGGGGCAGTTAATGCAAATAACCAGTTCTTGGCTTGCCCACTTGCTTAAGAAGGTTGGCTGGGCTGCTGCAAAAGCAAAGCCCTTAATGGAGATGCAGATTATACTGGCAAGAGTTTCCCTTTTACCCTCCTAACTGACATTCATTAATTGGCAGAACTTGTGAAGTGTAGTCCAAGCCTACGGAAGAAAGGGAGAGAGGCCAATGTTCTTGTAGGATTATTAAAATTATATTGTCTTTTTATGGCTTGTACAGGGGTGTACACTACCCAGGCTCAACAAATGGCACAGCCATCTTTTAAATCTCTGCTGTCTTGTTAAATTTTAAGCAGGTTCCTTCTGTGTTTTACCTTGGTGAGACTGGTCTGTGAAATGCTAGTAACCATAGGAGTATATTCAGTTTGGCACCAGCCACATCAGTCACTCTTGTTGCAAGAACTTCTGGGTTCTGTAACATAAAAATGGATGTGGACTTAAATCTCTGTATGTAGCAAAACCTTGTCAGAGTTAACTGAAAATACTTAAGAGTACTAGGGAAATTATATATTTAAAACTCAGCAGGAGATGACATGTTACATACCAGTAACCTACCTAATAAAATAACAGCTGTTACAGAAACAGTGATTTGTTTTGGTGTTCCTTATTGTGCTTTTTCATGCTTGCTCAAACTTAGCTGTATTTAACCTCAGAAATTTTTAATTTTTTTTTCCTAGATGCCCATCATAATCCAAAATTTCAAACAGCGTATTAAATAAGTAGAGCTTAAAGAGTTTTGAGTGGAGAAATGTGATTTTTATTTTGGTAGCTTTTTTCACGTGTGTAAATAGTTAAGAAATAATTGCATAAGAAAGTCCCTATGTGTCATTGTACATATAAAATAGGTTGTAGTGTATTGCATGGTAACTGAAAGTATATCCATCGTGTGGTCTCAGAGGTAAATTTGATGAGGCTTTGGCCTCGCAGGTAAATTTTTAAAAAGCTATTATAACTCTAGGTAATTTTATATACTAAAGGTATTGTCATATTCCTTTTGCAGCAGCAAAGAGATCTTTCAGGAAAGAACTTCAGAGCATTTCGAAATATGAAATTGATCCCCATGGAAACCTCATCTTCCTCTGATGACAGTTGTGACAGTTTTGGTTCTGATAATTTTGCAAACACTGTAAGTACAGTACAAGAATAAACAAAAATTGAATGTGAAATGTTGAAAATGTCCCATATGCTTTGTGCATGATTAAAACTGCTTTTTTTGCTTACATTTTTGTATCATAGTTATTATAAACCTACAGTATACACTGTAATTTCATTTCACTCTTTGCTTGTGCTTCTAGGTAGTAATTGTTGGAGATTAGCTATTTATTCTATCCTTTGAAATGTCGCCTAACCTAACATGCCTGATGATTTGCCATAACAATTCTGAAACCATTTGTAAATCCCCAAACTATTTTTTCTTTGTTACAAAAGCTATTCTCTTGTAGTGCACTTGTAAATGTGATTTGCTGTCTGCTTGGAGAAAATTGGCTCTTTTAAAAAATGTTGTATTTTTTATTATTTTTATTCTTGCAGAAACCCAAGTTTAGGTCAGATATCAAGAAAGAACTGGCTAAAATTTTTTATGAGGATTCTGATGAGGAATCATTCTGTGGTTTTTCAGAAAACGAGATTCAAGATGTGTTGGTGAGATCCCTGATTTAACTTGCTAGATTTAAAGTTTTAAGAATGTGTTGAAACCTTACAGCATCTGAGACAATTTATCCAAACATCTTCATATTAAAACCTTTAGTCGTTTATATATTCATATGTATTTAATGGGGGGAGCAACTACATCTATCTTAAATACAAGTTTCAAATATTACTATAAAGAAACATAATTGCAGTGTTGTTAAACTTCAGTGTTGAAATAGGATGCTGTTAAACAGCTTTTGTTTTTTATATGTTAACGATTAAAAGAAGAAAAAGAGTATGCATGTAATGTTCATTCATAAGATTGTTGTTTTCTAGGTTTGAAATACAGTGCAGCTGGACACTTTACTTATTATAATTGTTTATGGATTTTTGTTTGTTTTTTGTTTTTAATGCCTGTTCTGTAATCGAGCACTTTATCTTCTGTTTATAATTTTTTATCAGAAAGTATGGGTGGTATTTGGAATCCAAGCTTCAAATAAGCTGATAGAGAGCCTTGTCTGCATACTGACATTTAATCATACCTGCACTTTGTACTGTTAACAGGAAACAGCACAGGAAATTCTACATTCTTTGTAGGCAATGTAGAAATAGCAATAGCTGGTTAATCCCCTTTTCTGCTTTTACTTGACTACAAAATGCACGAGCAAGTGTATTTTTGCAAAATGCTTCCAAAAATGTGTTTGAGCACATCATAGAGCATTATATCCTTATTGCCCATAACAGTTTGGGTTACTGAAGGAATTTATTTTTACAATGCCTCAAGAACTAGCCTAAGAAAATGAGTAGGTGCTTTTCTTATGGAAAGAGAGCATATATCCAAAATAAATAACAACAGCACAGAGTGCCAAAAAAAGAGGGAGAAGCACATAAAAATGGGTGAGCAAGAAGTATATACAGGAAGACAAAGAACTATACTGTCACACAGCAGGATGCCTGTTGGATGGATTATATTGGTGTAGCATCAACTTTATTTTAGCTAAAATAGAATTGAAAAGAAGGTCACAATGTGATTAAATAAAAAAAATCATTTTCATTGACATCAAAAGAAAGTTTTACAGTAATAAGCATAGGAACACTGACCTAAAAAAATATTTATTAAATGTATCCCATTAGATTTGAGATAATAATGACGTTAATATCTAGTCCTGGGAGAAAGTTCCTACTTACAGTGAATCCTCTGACAGTTGTCAAATGCAGGACCTGATCCTGCACTGAGAACCAGGTAATGGTGCTTCTGTAACTGTATAATCACTTGTAAGATCAAGTCCTCAAGACCCTCCGCTCAAAATGCATCTCTCTCTCTGTGACTTACCTTATTTGCTAGATTAGCAGATAACTACTACAACTGAGAAGCTCATTTCTTTGGTGTGTTTAGATTATGTATTTGACAGCACTGCAAAAAAACACAAAAGCTGTTAGGCAGATTCCCAGGCAGCAGGACCT